ACTGGTACACCATTTGGGAAACCTCGTCTCTTTCTAGACCCCCAGAACAGGTGGCCCTAAAGACAAAACTCTTGGGTTTCTGGCCGCTGGCCGCTTGCCTTGGGTTTCTGAACCAAAACCAAACTGAGGGATCCATTTGGGCAGCCCAGTCGGATCTGAAGGGATCCCCAAAAGAACCACTACACGGCGAGCTCGTTGCGCGAATTTCCGGAACCAGTCGCTCGGCTCGCATTTCTTGCTGCGCTTCTTTTGGCCGACGTCCGCAGACTCCGCCAGCTGCTGAAGGAGACGGGCAGCGCGGGCACGCGCTGGCAAGGATTCATTCCCCCAATGGCGGCAGGTTTCACACTGATTGGATCAGTTTTTACAAAGGACCGCAAACTGCTCTTCGCTTCCCTCCAGAAAGTAGCAGCACATCTTCGGCTTGCCAACCCCTTGGGTGTGATTTCCCCCTGCACCATCGTCCAGGCCAGCTGTCACGTCACTTTGGACGCCTTCCTTGAGCTTGCCTTACGAGACTCGAGCAACCGGCTTCCCTCATCCTCCTCCCTGCATTTTGTTTCGAAAAAAGAAATAAACATGTTTCCCCATTGAAGACCGACCCACCTCCCTGCCCCTTCCGCGAGAGCTTCGGCTGGGCCCTCAAATGGGTCACGCTGGACTCACCCGGATGGTCGGGATCGGCTCGGACACCTCGTTTCGCGCCTGGAAGAGGCGACGTTGAGCCAAGATCTTCCGTTTTCCCCTGGTGATGCAAATGGATTCTTGTACATGGAATCACTGGTTGGTGGGTTTGAATATGAAGCTCGGAAAATTGGGGACATATTGAATGAGCTGTGTTGTTCGCTGATATGCTGTATCTAGCAAATTGACAGGTTTGAGCCCTGCCCTGGCTTGCTTTTGCACGGGTGGAGGGTGGCCTAGATTTGGACTTGGGGCTGTTTTGGGACTGGTTGGGGATAGGTTCAGGGCTTGCGTTGGGATTGGTTAAGCGACTGGCTTTCGGATTGGTTTAGGGGGATTGGTGTAGGGATTGATGTAGGAACTGGCTTAGGGTGGGTTCAGGGCTAGGGGTAGGTTTCGAATGGACTAGGGTTGGCTCAGGGTTGGGTTTAGGGTTCGGGTTAGGGTGGGATACGGGTTGGTCCAGGATGGTTCAGGGTTTTTCAAGGCGGGTGAACGAATTGCTCAGGGTTGCGTTAGGGTAGTGTGAGGATTGGCCCAACGCACTGAAACACCAACGCCAGATCAAGCCAAACCAAACAAAGACCACGCAAGGGTAGAACACACATCTATCCGGCAGCAACTCGTGCAAACACACGTTTCCAATTCAATAACTGCCAATTATACGCGGGGTTGAGCCATGAACCAAATTGAGGTGTTTCTCAAAGTTAGGCTGGCCATCCAAATGATAAGTATCCTTTTGGTTTGCCTTTGAACCCGCCCCGCGGGGGGGGGGGGTCTGGACGACACATACTGTGGATGGACGAAATCCTGCACCACCTAAGAAACCCTGGAATGATGATGCAATGTAAATACCAACAAACCATAGTTTGCCATGGTTTCTTAGGAACCCATGGTTTGTTGGAAACTGTTGTTGGAAAATCACAGGGGAATCCTCAGATTCACCCGGGTTTCCTAGGTGCGAATTGGATTTCGTCCATCCACAGTATCTTCAGCAGCCTCCATCTTCCACCTGCAGCGTTCCAGGCAGAGGTAGTGGCAGCAGCCCAGGAGCGCCTCGGATCACAAGCCTAGTCTCGCAGATCGCAGGCAAGCCGATGGGACGCTAACCCACTGGGTCCTCCAGATTTGAGAGGTTGAATTTGTTGGTACCCGATGTGTTTTTTTCTTCTTTCTCTTTTCTGTAGAATATTTTAGTAGGGGAACCGAATCTCCCCCAAAAAAGAAATGGTAAAAGGGCAGGCACTACTGGGGAACCTAGAATTATGTAAAACCTGGTAGTTGTTCCAAAGCTGAATTAAGAATTGGACCTCCAAGAAAAGGACCTCGACGCTTGGTGGTTCGCCCCCCGGGGCTGGAAGGGGCGGACCAGCTCCTGTCTGGTGAAAAGCAGGAGGGCATCGGCTTGATTGCATCTGATCCGCGTGCTGCCTCCCCTATTTCGTGGTGCGGCCCTCTTAGGTCAAGCCCTGACGCCTGCTCTATAGGGGGCATCCGATATCGTCAGACGCAGCCCTTGTAGAGCAAGGGGTTTCAAGCGCTCGCCCGAGCTACATGGTGCATCCGATGTCGGGCGCAGCGCTTTGTAAAGCAAACGCTAGTGGTGATGCAGTGCTCACGACTTGTTCTGAGACACATGTCTAGAACCTCATGGCTCAGGGTTTTGGCTCATGGCAAATCTGGAGTCGGCTGCAAAATGGTTAGGCAATTTCAATTCACTGCGCAGGTGTCTTGCCCAGGACTCCAACTGCTGACGGCAACACTCCACATCAATTCTTCGACACAAACTAGGCTCAGGTGCTTCCACATGCGTGAGTGGGTAAGCAGGGCGTACATCTGCTTGTCAGATCTTAGGCCAGGTTTTCAGCCTGAAGGCCCCTTCGCTGATTCAGCCAAGGTAACCTTCACTCGTTTCAAGCTTCAAGTTGGGTCACGCGTTTGACTTCAGGGCATCGGTCTCCGTGAGACCTGGTCAACTTGGGATGTCAAACATGCCATCCGCTCCATGTGTTGGGATGCCGCGGGTGAATGCAAAGCGCTTTGGGTGGAAGGGCATCATGTAGCCTGGTCTTTGGAATTACAGCACACTGAACTTGCGGAACATTCAGTGCTGGTCAATCTTGGTCGCCTTGGTGTACCTTCCTGTAATGACAAGCTGACACTGGTGAACTTTGCTAGCCAATTCCCGGATCTTCTGCCATCCATATCCTGAAAGAGAAAGAGAGGCAAAGAGGAAAATCCCAGGGTGGCCCATGCAGCCCAGGAGGCCATGACAATGAAAACGTAGAAGGACAGTGTGTAGTCACCGCTCCGTGCCCGCAACTTGCCTTGAAGGCAGCAGGAACCAAGCTTGGCATAGAACTGGTTTAAGCTCATCATATTGCATTGTACCGGTCAAACCCCAAGTCAGAAAGGAAGCCCTACTTGACGTCCCTCACAACTACTTGGGCATTACCGTCTTTCGTCTTGTAGCGGACGCACCCTCGATTGCCAAATTTATTCATCTAGAGCCCTTGATCAATTCTCAAGGTCTTAAGGTCAAACCACTTGATAGAAGCAATCTCAGATTCCCCGTCCAACTCATGCCTTTCAGACTGAAAAGCTACACATCAAAAATTGTTGACATGCCCAGCTACGAAGATCCGTCCCATCCTCTGGAACGAGATGTATTCGAACTAGCACGTGCTGCACGGTGGATTCCTCCCGACGGCCCGCTTGGCGCGGTCCCCCGGTTCTTTTCATCACGCGCCAAGATGCCTGTAACCAGAGTGCCCAGAAAGCCTCCGATCATCTGGAAGGTCATGAAGAAACTCTGCAGCTTGCTGTACTCCGGCATTCTGCCGAACATCTTCGCCTTGCAAAAAAAAGGCGACAAGTAAGCATAACAAAATTCGAAGCGCACGGCCACAGGGAAAAACAAACCTGCTTGGAAGAGTAAAACACAAACCATGAGGAAGTGGTGAAGTCTCTGAACAGAACTCTTCGTTTGCCCTGATCACCCTTTGCACAGATCCTTAAACCACAGTCTAGAGGTGGCAAAGTGGGCGGCTTGCTTAACTGACTCAACCGCAACCTGCATGGAAGTGGGTGTTGTGCGACGAGCTCACAAAACGAGCCGATGTGAAGCTGAAGGTGCTGTTTTGGGGTACCAAATACCTTTGATCAGGTTGGTGAAGTATGATTCTTCCACTGGGATGTGACGTTAAAGCCCAGGAAGTGGCTTATGGCTTTTGTGCGGCAGGCGCCGACTTGGCTCAGACTTCCGTGCTCCTCCCTCGTGGCTTTTTTGGGGTGTGGATCCAGAAAGTTCGCTGGTGGTTTCCATGCCGCGAATGAACCCTCGGTTGCAAAAACTGCTCCCCTGCTAAAAGTTTTTAACTTTTGGTGGTTTAATTCGGAAAACCCATGAGTTGGCAAAAAGTTAAAGTCCTTACATCCAATTCAAAATGCAACAAAGAACCAGTGGTTGAACCCCCAGACTCGTTGCTTGGCTGACTGCTGGAGCCAGGCTGCGAAGACCCATGAAGGTCCTGTTGGGCATTCCTCATTTCTGGCTTGGGACATATTTTAGTCCGATGTGGCAAGCCAGGAAACTACAGTGGTCTAAGGATGCAAGTACATCCTGCGGTATTGTCTCGCTTGACTTCCATCCGTAGCTTCTACGTTTTGTTTTTTCAATGCACAAAGAGCCCCGAAAGGAGGCTGGTGCCCCCTATTTGGCTCAGCCCCTTTTGCGTGAGAAAGCACTGGATCTGGGCCACCCACCGCCCCCTAAGCATTGGGGGCTGACCTTCACACGGGACCGTTGCGGGAAGCCTACCACACGGGACAAGTTAATTACCCATGGTCAACTTGGAGGGCCTGGCCGGGATGAATTTTCAATCCAGTAGACTTTACCCAAATGGTTGGTAGGTTGGTTGGATGGCTGAATATGTTTATCACCCCCCAAAACCAAACCATACCAACGAAAACCAAGAAAATCGTAACAATAACTACTAACAAATACCCATAGTCAAATTGGGGGTCTGGCCCCCTTAATCCCATCAAAGCGATAAGACCAACTTGGCGAGGGAATGAAATTTTCGGGGGGGTCTTAAAGCAAGCCACCAGTTGGATGAGGAATGACTTTGGGGGTCTTAAAGGAAACCACCAGTTGGATGGTTTATCTCCGGCTCATTCCCTCGACTCATTCCCTCAGTACCAACACAGACACACACACACAAGTTGTTGCCGTGCTTTTTTATTTGGCCACCTAAAGGTCGCGCACTCAGTGCTCAGAGACCCGGATTCCTTCGTTCCCTGCACCTCTCCCAAGCCAAAGCGAGACACGGCTTTGGAGCACACCAAGTTGAAGCACATGCCCTGAGCCAAGCCCAAGACCACCACGAAGCCCAACCTCGCGAAAAAAGGCGACGGCGAAGGCGTCTTCCCTTTGCAGCTGGCTTTGAAGGGACACCAAAAGGAACACCACCTGCCACCAAGCTTTGTGTTTTTTCTGTTTTGTTGTTTCTCTCTTTTCCTTTGGGGGGGAGGAGAGGTACCCCGAGTTTTAGAAATGTCCTATGATTCACCAACTGAAATCCGGGAATCCATGAGGATCTTGTGATCTCGTTTGACGGAGCTCGGCATTGGTTTGTCTCAAGTGACTCAATGTGGGCCATGGCAATCGTTCCCTTCGGAACCCTCATGGCCTAAAATCCCTGAGAGTCCGTGACCATCCATGGTATGATTGGTTTTGCTTGGTTGGCCCTGCTGGTTTGGTGTTGTTTGGTGTTGTTTGGTGGGTTTGTGTGTTCTTTGTTCTGCTTGGTTCGGTCTGTATCTTTCGTGTTGTTGGCGTTTTGCTTTTGTGGGTGTGCGCTTTGTTTGGTTGATTTGGCTGGCTTTGAGCTGAGCTGTGAGGAAAGAGTAGCCTCTTGTTGATTTGCGCCAGCTTAAAATGTCAAATGCCACCTGTTCAACAGTCGGACCCCAGGTGATTAGTTGCCTCGTGGTTTCTTGGTGAAACCATCTACACCATCCAACCCAAAACGCCCGCAAACACATTGACATGTCAGTGGCTAAATCATGACACACGGCTTAAGTTTGTAATCCTACGATCATGAAGCAACCTAGTTTAGTATCCCACAACCTCATTCTAACTATTTCCGGCCCATATAGCAACCTTTGAAAGACCAAAATGATTTGCCCTTCAAAATGACCACCACAAAGATACCCTGAAAAGCAATTGAGTGACAAGTAGTGCCCTGGGCCGTTGGGAGCGTGGTGGCTTTGTGGTTAGGGACGGTTTCCCATTTATCCTCTACAAAAGCCAGGGCTCACATCCGAATTCAAACCACCAATCCAAGCCACCTACGGCTTACTGGAATAGTGAAAGGAACAGCAAAGGACGCCTCACATAAAGGTCATCTCTGCAACCCACATCCGGGGGGAACCAAAAGCAAACCAAATATGTGCGAAGCTGCGTGACCCAAACAGGGCCTGGGCACAAGCCGGAGCCTGGATCAAAATACAACACTCCCCTTGTGGTTTCGCTCAGTAATCGCAAATGGGTTGCACCTTCGGCAAACTCCTTTGGGTTTTGTAGCCAGGAACCCCGGCCAGCACATGCAGGGCATACTAAAGGTCCAGAGCATTCTAAAGCAAACCGGGGCAGCACAAATGAACATGTAACCATGAGAATCAAAGGAAAACTGGAGTTCAGTTCGGGGTATGCCTCTCAAATAGGGACTTGAACTTGCACCCCAATGGTGGTTTTCCATTTGGAGCTGCCTTGAAAGCGAGGAAACCGAGCCTCCAAGAAACACACACCTGACGGTCTCGGTGGATTTTTCGGTTTTTCGAGTCGCAGCTGGCCCCAGTTGTGCGTCAGCGTTCGTCCGCCGGACGTCAGATCCAAGGGCATCAACGTGGCCGAGAGCAGAAGGAGACACCCCAGCAACCCCGCCAGGCTCTGGAACTCGCTGTCCTCCGAATCGTCACGTGTATCCACCGCACCAACAAAAAAGAAGGACATGTCCCCAAAGCTGCGTGAGAATTGTGTGGGTGTGATTCTGTTTTGGAGCTTGCCCTAGCTTTTTTCCGAATCTCAGCTTCAGTCTATTTGGTGGCATGGAGCCCGGTGGTTTGGTGGCGAGGGATGGTTTCCCATTTACCTCTACAAGAACCAGAGGTTCAACTCCAAATCGAAAAACCACCAATTGGGGGCTTTTTGGTGAATCGTCAACACCTGAATCCTCGGCACCAACAAAAAAGACATGTCCCCGAAGCTGCGATTCGGAATGTGGCTGTGATTCCGTGCTTGGGCTTGCCCTGTTTTTGTTGGCCAAACTTATGATAGAGGTGCTCAACGCATAGTTATTTGGTCAGAAAATGGAAGAATGAAAGATCAAAGGACCCCTGGCGGTTTGGTCATTGTTTTGCAGTTCAGAGCAACCCTAAATGAGTTGCAATCAACACCTAGGACTAACAAACATCTACCCAAAGCCATGTGAAGATGGAACCCAGCTCTCGTGTCATGGCATGGTTCACGAAAGACCGTCGCTTATTTGTCGCTTTTTCCTTCCATCCCGTGAGCAAAACGACCCCGCACAAACACCACTCAGCATGACACCACAATAACAAAACTCACTGCCAGGATTAAGGATGGGCCCTATTGTTTTAACGTCAAACACTCAAAGGAGAGGGAAACACAGTTTTGTCAACAACGGGGGAACCCGGGACCTTAAAAGGAACGAACCCCTCCGTGACTGCGACCTCTCCCTTAACCTTGGGGCTAGCGCGGTGCAACGCGCTGTTTTCAGCACTTGAGCCAAAGCAGTGATTGGATCATGCTTTGGCAATGACTTGAATGTACAACATGCAACTGACTACATGAGAACCTACCTCATGTACCTCTGGGCCATAAATGTCATCGTGATAATTGACTCCCCCCTCATTGACGGCACTGAGGGAGTGTCTTGGGCGCATTACCACGCCAACTTGAAGTCAAGTTTACATCACAACGACTGACACAAGTGAATCAAGCATCACCCAGGCACTTTGCACACTTTTGGAAATTTTTGCGGACATGCTGCAGCGCACTAGGCAGCTGCTTTAGCGGCTCTACTTTCACGAACGTCTTCAAGCTTCTCTGGAAGGTCAACACGAATGCCGAGCAACCGGATGGCATGGTCCCACTTGTTGGGTGGAAGTGCTTTCGTGAAGATGTCCGCTGACTGCATGTCGGTTTGGACGTATTCTATCGAGATGTGTTCGCTTTCAAGCTGCTCTGCGATGCACGCGAGGTTCACCTTGTGCGTTCGCTGGACACAGCGTAGCTTGGATGAGAAACCTTTTCTCGCTACGAGGATAGTCGCCTGATTGTCCTCGTGGATCTTGAGATGGAATGGTCGGTCCAAGATCAGCTCCCACAAGCTAAGCGCAGGGAGCGCCTCCTGATAAAGGGAGTATGCGAGAGATACAATCTCCGCCTCGGTCGTTGATCGGGAGACCGATGTCTGCCTTTTGGACACCCACGCAAGCGGAAAATGCGTGTGCGGACCACTCAAAATCAAGAATCCTCCGGACGTGGATTTTGCATCTCGCTCTCCAGCGAAATCGGCGTCCACATAAAGAGACAGATGCAAATCCTCAGTCGAATCTTGAACTGTGCCTACTAGCGTGCTGTTGACCCTGCTGTTTATGTAGCAAACAAGCCTATGTAGCTGCTTATCGCAGTTTCTAGACCATTTTTGAACAAATGAGGCAAGGTCGCCAATGGGCTTGACCAGGTCTGGGCGTGCCAAACGGCCGAGCCATAAGGCTTTCATCAACACGCGGCAAGCGGCGAAGCCGAGCTCACCCTCCAAGGCGTCATCTGCAGGATCAAAAGATCCAGCGGGACAGAATGGAGTGGTGGCATCACGCAACTTTTCACTTTTTAGCTGTGCAACCTCAAGATATAATGCCACCGTTTGACGGGCATAATCCCGCATGTCGAACGCCATGCCCCCTTTCAATCTGCCCATTGCGGCATTAAGATCGGGTTCAGTTGGGTCCTTTGGAGCATCTATCAAAAGGTGGTTCCTGCCTAGCACCCGATATATGTCTTCTGGGGGTTCTATATCAACCAGTCTTGTTAACTTTTCCCAGAAGTCTTTATGAAGGTGGCTGGGGCCGGCCAACGTCAAGTCGTCGACGTATGTCGAGAGAAGTAACCCGGACTCCTTGAACCAGAAGTTTCCAGGAAACTCTGCGACCTCACGCCCTCCAAGTTCACTAATGAAACCTTTGAGGTGTGCCTCCCAGAGTCCGCCAGCGTCAGGATGCCCATAAAGAGCTTTAACGAGCAAAACCACAGGTTTCACGAAACGCTCGCGCCACCACCTTGGCCGGAGCTCAGGCGGGAGTGTGATCCAAGTTTGGTACTTGGACTTCAGCAGTGCTTGCACATAAGCCTTTATAGCGTCCGCTGTTGTGGTGGAATTCCCTGGCAGGGATCCATAAGCGAGACAGTTATTAAGACCTTGTACGCTCGTGGGATTTGCTCCCAACTCTTGGTAGACAGCTGCTGCGCCATGTTCGTCTTTCGCACAGTCTCCGCGATACACAATCCTACCTTTCATCTTCTGAAGGTGTTTCGCGAGTTCGGCGAACTTGACGGATGCTAGCGACATCAACTGCCCGAAATGGACTTTTATACTGGATCGTCGCGCCTCAGCAGCGACTTGATCATATTCTCGGACTGAATTTAGATCCCAAGCACCGGCTTTCTCCAGGCCTGTGGCTTCAAGTCGAACGGCTTCAAGAGCTTCCGGGGAAGCCAACATTTCGGCACGTGACAAGAGTCTGGTCACCATTGCGGTGATCTCAGGATCCTTCTTCTCTTTGACTTGTCCTAGGGAATGTGCGATGAGATTTTCAACATCAAGAACTTGTTCAAGGATGTTGTGACACTTTTCATCGGACTCAACAGCAACACCTATATCTTCCAAACCAGAGAGAGGGGATATGTGCTTCAACTGCTGTTCACGTTCCCGGTGATCGAGAGGCAATGGCACTTGGACAGGCATCGCAGGCACAACGGGTTGAACTGTCGGATACAGCGCACGGGCAACTGTGAGACACATGCCTTCGGGGTAGAAAGCGGTCTTTGCGGTCTTGTTACCTGCTGCAAGCGAATGCTTATACCCTTTTTCGTGCGGACACTTGAATGCACCTAGTGCGGATGCGAGTGTGCTATTGCTGGTCATGACTTTCCATGGCTTCTTGATGGGATAACCATTGCTGTCCTTAAGACCTAGGGCGCAACCATGGAAGGTCGCTGGGGTGAAGACGTGTGCGTATTCTCTAAAGAATGCAGAAACATCATCCCTAGCCCAGCTGTCGCAATCCCTTGGCCATTCAAACGAAACACTACCCCCCTGATGGAGGACAGTCTCTGCGTGACGTCTGAATCTGGAGAACAACTCTCTCGACTCTTTAACCTTTTGCTTCAGTTTCTTTTTGAACTGGCTTCCTAACTTGGCCTTATTAAGGCGTTGCCATGCTGAACCTGATGTACAGGGAATTGCGGCCCAGAGATTGGGTTTATCACAACCTTCAATCTGCGACTGCAACTGGATTTCTCCTTCATCTGTGCTAAGGTCGATAAACTCTTTAGCCAGCCTAACGTGAGGTATGCCAAGACCTTCAAACACGCGACCCATGTTGGACTCTGGTGAACATGCGTATTCGAACATCACAGGCAACTTGTCAGTACGTGCCTGTTTCTTGCGGGCACGATGATTTCCAACCTCAAACTGCTTGCGCTGTGGAGCTTCAACCTCTGCGCTGCATGGCATGCCAAAAATTGGCAATGTGTTCGGACGACCGTTCTTTGACGCTTCGGTGAGAGGTGTCGGCGGTACGGAGTCTAACATCACGGCTGCACCTGTGGTGATAACACAATCGGACTGAATGGGTTTTAACTTGAACACTGTGAACCCGGTCCATGCATCACCAAGTGATCGATTGGGTCGGCTACCAAACCAACCATCGTGGATGTTGTCTGTTTTGCCCCCCTGAAACACGGCACGAGTGGTGCGAGCTGCAGTAAATCTTTCTGGGGAAACGGGGCAATCCTCGACCTCTTTTGGGGTAAAAAGATTCTGCCTTGGCATGATATGGTATCGAACCAAACAGTTGGCATTTTCTTTGAACACCCAAAAATCTTCACCTTGCGATGTAGCGGCTGTCGCTGGCGCGGTATCGAAAAATGAGCCACCGGGTCTTGAGGGAGCGGGCTCCCCAGCTTCGGCTGCATCGAATTCATGCGCAACGTCTTCTGCACTAACTGCGGGCTTAGGATCCTCTCCATGCTCGGATGCGTGGATTGCTCTAGCTAGCTCCTCATCCCCTTCAGTATGAACAATGGGAATGGGTTCCTTAGATTCAGTTTTGGCACGCTTTTTGCAGCTGCTTCAGCTCGATCTGCAGAAACAAGTTCGGAGAACCTCTTCTTGCATTCGGCACTGTGAATCTTGGAATGACCGGTGCATGCACGGCAACCTGGCGTTTCCTTGAACTTGATGATCCTCTCAACAGTTATGTACACGGATTTTGACTTGACAGCGGATGGAGTCGGTGGGGCACCGAAGGGCGCCTCTCGCAGGGGCAAAGGTGGGGGGTCAGACCCTTCCGTCTTGCCACCATGCAATGCTCTATCTGCTGCTGCTGCGATCGGAAAGCTTGGGGTTCCGTCCTCAACGAACAATTCCGGTTCAGGAACATCGTGAACGGAAATGGAACCATCTTTGCGGAAGGCTTCATAGTCCATGACTTTGACCACGTTACGGTACCGCAACCCCGGATCGATCCTCCAACCCAAAAAGAGCGCTGGCGCCATGTTCGGATCGAGAGTGCGCTTGCCAGGAGTCTTGGTTCTGTACCAAACCAATTGCCCGAAACAGCATCTCTTACCTTGGAACTTTTCCTTGGTGAGGGCTT